ACCTTGTAAATAATAAGAAATTTTACCAATTCAATTCAAGAAATTTACACTTGTCTTTTTGAAATTTTCAACACTTACATATGTTTTCACACATTTTTTTCACTGTTATTTTATCATAATAATAAAATACATATAAAAACTCACAATAATAAATTAGAATTTCAAAAACTCAAACACGGTTCATATCAACAAACATTAATGTCACATTTCATGAAATGTCAAAACACTAATAACAGTGTTGCCAAAAGTACTGTAAATGTGATGGCGCCACCAGTAATAAAATACTACACTGCGCTAGGACGATAAACTGGTAATAATGTTTTATGGTTGCGCAAATTTTCTTATATTTCACTTTTTATATCCAACGTCAAATATAGATAGTTTGCCGTGGGTATCATATAATTTTTAGTCCTGAATGCGAGAATGTAGCTCAGCAATAAAAAATACAATCCTATTAGTTTCTGTTTTGTCCCCATGAAAAATAAATTATTAGATTCGTTAATGTATGACAATACACAATGTCATTGAGTCAAGATGACATTGTTATGATAAACTGGTTTAATAAGGGCACCTGATGTGAGTCACGCAGTCAAAATCGTTGTTGTGTATCTGACCAGTTAAATGATGTTCGTATAAAATAATGTAAATGTTAAAATAACTTAATGAACTGCATTTTTCGAAATTCATCTCTCATTCGGTCTGTTTAATTTGATTATAAGTACACGTGGCACACGTGAACCATATAAATCAAAGTGTCATATTTAACATGTAGAATACAATTAATGCAAGATTAGAATTTTTCTGTTATAGATCAAGAGTTTAACGATCTTTAATTTTGGAAAATATGTTACAAAATGATAAAAAAAGGATTCTCAAATAATGTAAGAGTGAGTCAAGTAGATTCAAGTGAATGATGAACTAGTTTCAGAATATTCATTTATTTTGAATTGCGCAGCGATAGAGAATGTGAATTTTGGAAGACCGCCTGAGAAGTATGACTGGTCAGTTGATGAATGTGTGAGCATTTTAACACTGATAACTATATTTATCATTCTTTTCCATCTTATTCTAGTCATATGAAGACATACTCAAGTGCTAAACTGTATTCACAGACACATAAACGGTATTCACAGGATATGAATTGGATTAATTTTATTTAAATAAAAACTGTAAATTGAACTGTCAATTTATTTCATTTGTTCACTACTTTTTAAATCATTTTCAATACTTTCTTACTTTTGAATCTTAGATATTACAGTACAAACATTATTCAAAGTTTGAGTGCTCGATTTAAAACACAATCAATTCAATACGAAATACAGTATGGTTTGTGTCTTCGCCTCAAATGTTACTTCGGAATTAAACCATCTCCACTGTATATATTTCAGTCAAAATGTATTTTGATTGTAATTTTCGCTTACATTCAAAAATTGTCTATTTACATCAAAGATCTTAATATTTTGATGCAGTAAATAAAAATTTCCCCAAACAAATATATTTTCTTTAAATCGTAAGTATACCATATCATTTTATTATTATGAATTTAAAGAATTTTCGCAGTGCATTATTGTGTAAGATAGGCATTTATGTGGTTTTGACCTAGATCCGAATTTGTTGCCCAATTTCTCTTTCTCTCTCTTCCTTTCTTCCACTCTCACTCTGATTCAAAAACTCAACAGTATCACAATGAGTGAGTTTCTTATTTTCAGCACCAATTTAAAAAAATCTCATTACAACCGAAAATGTCGAAATCAGAAAAAGAGCATAAAACTAATTCTTAATGCTATTAATGCACTTCTCCATGTGAGAATCCACAAAAATTGGTGATTTTCACATTGAAAAGTGGCACACGAAAAGAGAAAGATCGACGAATAAGAAGCAGTCTATTATATATAATAGATCAGATGTAGAAATTTGGTATTAACGACATTCAAGTGCATGGGCTAACTTAACAGACGATGAACGAGAAAAAGAGAGAGAAAATGAACGCAACACTGCACAATGCACGTATTATGTATTAATTTCCCGTTCTTTTTAATAGCGGCTCTCCGTTTACGGTTCATTATCGGTTATTATTAACGATTTTCACTTCTTTTGGTGTTTCAAATGCTTTTTCTGGTCTACGTGACATGGATTCTGTTATCTAACCATTCACCGTTAGATATTTGAAGATTTATTCATCTTATTTCGGAAGCTCGCTTAGAATTCGTCATTTGCACGCTTTAGGATAACTGATGGTAACTCTTTAAAAAGAGTTGGACTCTTCTCTTTTCATACTGAAACGCAGTCTTTGAATCATCAAATCAAATATTCAAAAGTTCAACGACCCCAATCGATATGAAACAAGAGAGATTAAACAATTCACGAAAAAAAAATGAAATTAATGAACTAAAAAAGATTTAACATTTTCGACTACACATTTTATTTGTAAAAGAAGGGGGAAAATGTCTGGCGATATAAATGGAGACGATTTATTTTGCAATCTAAAAGAGCAATATTCTTTAAATACGATGAATACGATACGAAAGAAGATTTTTATGACATGACATGCATTTTTGCTAATGTCCTGATGCACATACAAATATTATATGCAAATTAAGCCCAAAAACAGGTTTAAACTGACCATACGAAATTTTAATCGTATTGTGACAACGACCGCATATCAATGTATATAGCAACAGCCGTATATATATTTGGAAGGTGTCAAATCCATGCCAAAAAAAATGAAATAGCAAAAAAGCGATAAGGAACTTACTTTATGACGCAGAAAATAAATATGTTGAAATTTTCTAATGTAATACAAAGATAATGATCAATGGGAGGAAATTACAGCAAATTTTAAAATTGGCGCGCTGTTTAGTTTCGATTTGAGTTGTTAAATTACATTGACGTGCTCTTTGAAATTCGGAGCGCCACCGTCGGCTCAAAGAGACTTGAAGTCTTCACATCCGCTCATTGATAATGATATACTAAACTCAAATCATAGCCCATCTGTTATTGTGCTGAAAAATTGGTTCTTTCATAGAACTATTCCATCAAAAATTGTATTTATTTTTATGCAAAAATCGAATTCGCTGAAATGCAATAGACGCTACGCAAAAATATCGCTCACATCTGTAACTCTAGATTTATTGAAAGTATGTCAAGTACTTGTGACGTTAAAATAATTCATTCATTAAATCTCGTCACATAATGACATACTCAAAAAAAAAAAAAATAAAATAAAATGCCATTATCGGACGAGAGAGTTGAGGTAGGTTATTCTCGCATACTATGCAATTTATATATTCTGATAAGAATGCAATGTTTTAGTACCTATCACTATATTAGTATTTTGCTTGATAGGTTGGAATATTACAATAATTTTCGCATACCATTTGGTGTCAGCAACTACCGAAAATTAACTAATTGAGTTCTTAGAAGCAGCCTTGAGTTCGGTCAAAGTCATTCAAAAATTCAAACCTCACGTTCGGGTCAAGTATAAATATCCTTTATCTCATATGCTGGAATAATTTGAAAATTGTTTTTTTTTTTTAACAATCATACACTTTTATTAGGTTCGGTACGCAAAAATATATTCGAACACTATGCCCGATGGACTTTGATAAAATATTTTGCGTCATCGATTTTATTTATATTTATTTTTCCATTCCTTCAAATAAACAACAAGAGCAGATGTGGAAGAGTTTCTCTCACATTTCTTTTTATTTGTGGTTTTGTCTTTGCGTACACATCGGAAATAAAAGGGACAAAAAAAATCGACAAAACTTCGAACGATAAACTTGAATTGATAACTCGGTTTTATATATAAGATGCATCACAGCCGACTGCGTTCTAGTTCATAATAGACAACTGCGTCTTAGAATATTTGCAACAATAGCAAATGAATGCGTATGTTATTGAATACGACTGAACGTATAGACACTGTTTTTATTTTGAATTGATAACGAAACTCATCACATGAACTAGATTATTTTTTGTGTTTGCAAAACTCCAACTAGAAAAGTAGACAAAAATAGCTCTGTGACAAATTATGAGGAAAAAAGCTAACTCATCTGTAAATTTCCATAATGATCTATTATTATTGATGCCTTTCAAATTGTTCACATGGCAAATTTTCTCATTCTTTGAACAGTCGTCACATAAAAATCATAATACATTTGTATAATTGACTTTTTGTATATTTTGATTCTAAATTTGTGCTTCGAAATGCAAATTTTTTTGTACTGTTCAACTAAAAATAGCACCGAATTTCTTAAGAATCGTCATTCACAAATTTCGGCAATTTTATTCTGCCATCAATGAATATTTGAATTGGAAATAAGTATTAACAATGACCAACAAATTTTGCTTTGCATCATTTGAGATTTGTGTTTATTTATGAATGTCAATATGAATGTGTTTTGAAGAGAAAAGCCACACCGCTAAACAACGTACGTCATATAAAATAAGCGTCATAAGAACGCTTACATTGTTTCGTAGCTTTTAGTGATTGTATCCCGCATAAAAAATCGTCTCACAATAGCCTTCATTGGGTCAAATTTTATCAACGATTAGAAAAAAATGCCATAAGACTCGTATTTGAATAGTAAATAAACTTTTTACGCGGGCTACATACGGAAAGCACTATCCGAAAACGATGCATACACACAATAGAATGCGATCAGCTTCAGCCTTTTCTTTTCTTCTGTATGCACGTATTCCGTGTGATCATGTTTTTTTATTCATTCGTCCAAAAAATCACAGCGTATTGAGTATACACAAATGTAAGACAATTTATAGAATGACCCCAGAAAAAAAGTTTAGTTTTTGGTGCGTTTTGTTTGTGTGTTGAGGCTCACACGATCTTCTATAAAAAAGAGATGAATCTCTCGGAAACAGCATCAGAATCAATTTTGTTGCTAACATTAACAGATCGATTGTTCGTAGTAAACATTTATCCACTTTTTTGTTTGTTTTTCAATTTTTTTTTTATCAAATTGTGTTTGTAAATTTTGTTTTGTTTTTTTTTTTTTTCAAACCTAAAATTCATGGAATTCAATTTATAGAAAATTCGCGAAAAAACTTGATTTTGATTTAAAATTAGTCAAGCAATTATAATCTGTTAATTATAAGACGTGATTTAATAAAAAAAATTGCCGAAAAATGCGCAAAGCATCTTTGTATAAACGTTCAAATGGTTTGCAGCGACGCGACGCGAAACAAACGATAGAGGAGTTTTCACATTTTTTACAATGGCGATCGGACGGATGTGATTCACTGCTAGATATTGGCTGCGGAAGCGGTGATGTAACAATTGACTTTTTGTTGCCGATCTTACCAACAAAATTTTCAAAACTGGTCGGAGTGGATATGTCACAAGAAATGATTGAATTTGCAAGAGACCAGTATCCGCATCCGAAAATTTTATTTGAAAAATTTGATCTTGGTGTCGATTTGGAGAAGCAACAATTTCGCAACGAAGAACCATTTGACCACATTACATCGTTTTATTGTTTGCATTGGGTACAAAATCAAGAAAAAGCTATACAAAATATGTATAAATTATTGAAGCCGGATGGTGATATGTTGTTGGTGTTTTTGGCACAAAATCCCATATTCGAAATTTACAAGCAAATGTCACAAAGCAAAAAATGGGCCAAATATATGATCGACTGCGATAATTTCATTTCACCGTATCAATATTCCAAAAATGCGGCCGATCAATTTGGTAAACTACTATATTCGAACGGATTCATCGAGTATTCGGTCGAGATTCGGGAAAAGTTTTTTGTCTTCGAAGGAATTGACTTGTTGAAAAGTAAGTGAACTAGTTCTTTGTCTCTTTCAATTTTGATTCTACCGTTCAACATTGCATTAAACAATTTACCTTTCATTTTCAGAATCTGTGAAAGCAGTGAATCCATTCATTGAACGAATTCCATTGCACGATCAAGATGCATTTTTCGATGATTATCTCAATCTTGTCATAAAAATGCACTTGTCTTTAGATGATATTCATACAAACAGTAAAACATGCCGCTTTTTAACACCATACAAACTGATTGTAGCCTATGCCAGAAAGTAACTTAATCCAAAATTTACTCAAGTATTTATAAATATAGAATTTAGTGCAACATTTAAATTATTATTTATTCGAGAGGTTTATACAGATATCGATTAGATTTTATAATAATAATCATTTCTTCTATAATTGTCAATAAAACACTTTAGTCGTTTCTTTTTTTCATTTTATCTAACTCTTTCCAATGAAGAATTGTTGTGGCAAATTCATCCATTATCGGGCATATGTTGACGGTCGAGTTTGGGCCCGGATTTGTATGTAGTTTCAGTCAAAATCAACGTCATCAATGAATGAAAAAAAAAAAACAGAAAAAATGCAATTAGTATGATACAAAAATTGACTTAATATCCTATTCAGTACACTATACTAACCTACAAGAATACTTGTACTGGGGCAAGGCCACAATTTAATCAAGCCTAGCGTACTAACAAATAATTATTATAACTAATTTTTAAATTATGATTTGATTGTCCATTGTTGATATTCTGATTCTGACCGCAATACAATGGTAAATGTTGATTGTTGACAACGCGGGGTGGTCTGCGTACATTTGGATGAATTATCCGCTTTAACACCACGCATTCACCTACCAAATGAAATAACGAAAACACATTATTATCAATTCGTTTACAATTTGTATCAATTTCATCCGATTGCATACCTTTGTACAGGATCGGCTTCGCTGCTGCGATATCACGATGCAACATTTCAACGTTTGCAACATTTGGTAGCCATGTTTTGAAGAAGCGTTGCTTCTTTGACACCAAACGAGCTGCATTCGGTCCATCTCGAAGAGTTGCAGCAATTTCATCGCCCATTTCTTGCATCTCGCGCCACATTCGTTCAATTACTCGTCGCATTTGCAGTAATCGTTTGCTCACATTGGTTACGATGGTTCGTGGTAGTCCAACAATTGGATTTGGTACACAACCCACACATTTCTTGTATCGATCACGTCGAGTATCTTGCGGAAATCGCTTGAAACACAATGGGCAATGCTGTGATGTCATGTATTCATCGACCATTCGAATGATGCAATTGCATTTTGAGATATTGTGAGTTATAATTGAATACTTTGAGATATTTGAGTTTTAATCAGATTTTAAGAATAAAGTTAAATGTTGGTGGATAAAAAAGCGTGGTTACCCCCTAGTTTGCGCGTGCCTGGACAGCGTACATATTTCTTGATTCTAATCGGCGAATTGGCTGGTGTTGATCCGCTGGCTCCCATGTAGAAAATGGATGGTTCATTTCTTACCATTTTACATGTCGTTTTGTCCATCGCGCATACTGTTTGCCCGTTACTTGTCGAGTCCCAATCGTGCATACTGTTTGGCCGAATACGTTTCAATTCCGTTGTTCATCATTCGAAGTCGATGTGCAATGTATGAACGCCATGATGGTCCTTTTGGCGATGGCATTTCACCAATCATAGCTGCAATTCGGTTGCGGTCACATTGTTCTTCGAATGCAAACAATCGTGTTATTCTTTCGGCTTTCGCATCACGATGATTTTGTTTTGCATCCCAATGATATTGTTTGCTGGATATACACAAATTCACCTAACAAAATGAGAACAACAAAAACAACATTGTATTCGAAATCACAATCACAATCACAATATGAATCACTTTGATTCATTGTAAAAAAAAAAAAAAAAAAAAACAAATTTACCTCTTCGTTGATTTCAATCTCACGTCGTACTGAAGCGTTCCACATACGCATGCCCGGATCAACTCCAATAGCATACTTGAATTGTCTGCTATCGTACATTGCCTTGATTTCAGCGTCCGTTTTCTCGACTGGCTGTACTTTTGGCTTTTTGAACAAAAACGATACAGATACGCCATCCGAACAAATCTGGTGATCAAAATCCTTTTTGTTGCTCACCAATTTGCAAATTTTCTCCATATTGAAAAACAGATTCCAACTCCCATGTTTGTTTGCCCTGAATTCTTTCTTCTCAATGTTGATCCAATTTGGCGTTCCTTTTTTGGATTTTCGTTTACCAAATTTTCCCGGCACAACTGTTATATGGCATAATATGTTGTATAATGCATCTGTATCGATCGGTACAACAACGAAATTCCGGAATCGTGGTTTATCACGGCGATCTTTGTACGTGATATGAAACATCCGGATAGAGCGCTGAATGAATGTCCACATGCGAATTGATTTGATCCAGTCATTCTTAACGAAATCCTTTATGTTGCAATCGTCTGGTGCACCAACAAAACGTAGCTCATCTAACAATTCGCCCAGTCGCAATTCACGCTGTTCATCACCATTGGTGGTATTTCTGCGATGATACTCGTATGTGTAGTTGACGGCATTTGTTATGTCAACATTGTCGTAATATGGCAATGCGTCCCCGTGTCCAAACCGATCGTTGAAATAATTGTACTGCGTTGCAAAATCGTTCAATTCAAACACGCGCATTTTAAAGAATTTCTTCAATCGGCTTTCGCAATGAGTAGTCAGATTTGTTTCGACGTTATCCATATACTGTTCCCACAGATACGTAAACGCTGCTCCGAAGCCTTCGTTAGTTGGCCATTCAATGAAATGCGATTCAACCATGTGAAGAAAATCCGGTAACATCAGCGACACGTTGTCAATGTTGGCCAAGAGCACAGCTCTAAAACAATTTTGGATTACTTTTTCCCCATCCTGTTCGAAAAATTCTTCGCCATTATTACCTTCAATGTCTTCAATGTTTTCGTTCACCTATTCAACAAACGAACAAAAACAAAGAGAAAACAATCAAATCAATTCATTCATTGCAATTCAAATCGAAATTCTAGTAAAAAAAGTAATTTCAAAAACACACAATAATAATTGAATTTCATCTCACCATCATCAACAATAGCAACGATGCCAAATTTGCTATTTTTGTGGCCTTAATCGACAGAATTGTGATGATTTGGACCAAAATATCTGGACGAAGTATTCCCGGCAGCACCTGTTTGATGGACCTTAGATCCTTGTTCGGATCGGTAGTCTTGTGTCGACCCATTTTGCTTTCTATTTACACTCAATTTAAAAAAAAAAAACGAGGATCAAACACAAACTTCACAGTGTAAGGAAATCTATTCTTTTGCAACACACATTAAACTCAAATGAGAGGAACCAATTGTATAAAAATGACTGTCACGATGTGATGTGATGTGGAGATTACTGAGCATATTTTTTTAATGTAAACAAAAGATGATCGGCTTCGATTTGACTGACACACAGCTACCAACTGTTAAATGTCATACACATTCGAAATTCGAAATTGAAATTTTATTCATGAAATAAAAAAAGTAATGCAGTAAATGTCTAAAAATGTTTTTAATTTTAAATCAAATAACGCAAATCTCTCTCCAAACGGATTGTTTATTTTTTTATTACTGAGCAACAAATGAATCGTTACAATTTAAAACTTAACGTATTGGGCTGTGTTTACATTATTAATAACGAAATGGTATTGGAAGTGAATGAAACAAATGGAAGTCATTTCATTGGAATTCGTACTATGCACATAATCTCCGTTATATTATACACTAAAATGACCACCAAAATGGGTTAAAGCGTTACATTTTTTAACGTTAAAATGGATGAAAAACGTTACAATTTTGTTCGCTTGATAATTATCAATCATTGGCGGTAAAATTCACTGTGATATAATATACTTTCACATATTCAAAGTTGGTTTCTATATTTTAAATTTAGTATAATTTGGACTTGCCTACAGAAATCTATACTCCTCTTCAGAATTATGTTCTTTATTCAATTAAAAACGGTGTTATTTTCTTGCTTAATAAAAAAATTGCATTTTCAAGATCCGTCGTCATGGCGATCGAAATATTATATTGATCGCACTTTGATGTCAGCTCAAGCGAATGGTTGGTCTGTTTCCACCCACCTCTACGAGCATTATATTCAACTTTTCTATCGCAAATCTGCCTCATCATTTGCTAGGGGGTAGACACGCAATTCAAAAGAACAAATCTATACGAAAAAAATAAATCTCTTTAAATTATTGCGAGTAAATTATAAATAAGAAAAAAACACTTCTTTCGAAGTTCCTAGTGTGACGCAATACTGTAAATACCATCGACATTACAAAGTCGATTTTACACTTTTTTGGTCAAAAATTTGTGAAAAAACGTGAATGAGAAAAATATCGATTCTAAGGTAATTTTTCATGCTGATTCCGAATTTTTGGGTTTCAGGTCAAAAAAATCACATCTTGGGGGTTTTTGACCCCCCGACCCCCTTAAGGGGTGCAGAGAATTGGAGGGCAGGGGTCCTAAAAAATTTCTCTCGTCATTTTGAACAACTTTGTAGTACATTATTTTTTGATCAGATGAAGTTTTGTAAAATTGAGGGCACCCCCAACCCCCCTGGGGAAAAATTCAAAATTCTGCTCCGATAGAAATTTTCTATTTTTTACCCCCAACATACCCCCCAAAGCGTTTTTTTTAATTTTTAAATTTAGGGGGTGCGCCTAGTTCGTGAGACACCCTGTATATAGAGTGACGCAAAATATACATATTTCATATATGTATGTGGGCGGGTATTGCGTCACTTGGGGGACTGCCGTCCCCCGTGATATTTCAAATCATTTTGAATATTTTCGAATCATTTCAAATCACCGCTTGACAGTTCGAGTGACGCTTTACAGTGAAGTTGACTATCGATGTTTGCATGCATGTTATATCAAAAAAAATATCAAGTTAAAGAATAAAAATACAAAGAGATTTAATATTTTCGAAATGTGTTTTAACTTTAAACGAAATATACTTGATTTTTTTAATTAAAAAAAGGTTTTTGCTTGCTTAAAAAAAAAACAAATATTGATATAGAATTTTATGCTTTGTTTTAGTATTGTAAAGTCACTTGTCAAATAGATTCAAATCATTCAAATCACAAATGAATTACAACGAATCATTTGAATCATGTCCACCCCCTTGATCATTTGTCTCACTATTAAATCTACCAAAATGCGGGAAGAAATGTTCATTGAATCAACTGTACGAGCTTTACAGCTAGATCATTCATGGTGACTAAGATTCAGAATACCTATCAAGCTTGAGTCAAGTGAATAACAATAAAATTTTCTTTCAGCTTACTAACAGTTTTATTATTCCTGAAATTTTAAAGTGTATCTCCAAATCTCAGATCCGACATTGTGGCAATGCATGGCTCGGTTTTTTTCTTCAAATCCCGATTTTTTTGTCATTGTGTTTTTGAAATTGATGCATTATGTATTTGTCAATAGGTTAACCAATCAATCAATCGCAAAAACTTTTTTTTAATTGTTCAGATTTCATTACTTTAAATTACAAAATATACGTGCAAAATATTTCAACAAAATATGGTTGCAATTTTAAAACTTTTTTTCGTGACTTCATTGAAATAAATTCAATTTTTTTATAAGATTGTAGCGATTAGTACCACCTATGAAATGTATTTATTAAAATCACAATAATCACGTGTAAAATTGAGTAAATTTAAGCGCTTAGTATGACACGTTTGGAGCTCAATGTTGTAAACATTGAAATAGATCACGTGCAAATGAAGTAATATTAGCAATCAACTAACCACATTGCGTTTAGTATCGATTAGACTTTTATACAAGAAACTTCATGTGATTTTCAGACATGCCTTTCATTCAGTTACCTGCGTTTGCACTTTTAATTTTTAGTTTGTCAAGCAATACTTTAGTCATTTGTAACAAAAGACCTTCATTAACATCTGGGTTTGAAGATACAAAGTGAATTCAAATGAAAGTGAATTAATATTTGCTCACGTTGTAAGTGAAAATTTGATTTATTCTCTTTTCATTCAATTAAAATTAATTCATTGTAATTAAAAGGTCTATCGGCATGCCGATCGAAATATTGGATATACATTCCCGAATGATCAGAATGGTGATGAAATTTGGTGGACAGAAGGTTTGTGTTTGAATTATCACTATTTTGCTTTGTGTATTTTGAACATTTTGAAAAAGAACAAACAACTAAATTATACTTGTTGTAATTATGTTATTATAATTGTTTTCTTATTTTTACTTGTAGTTTATGGACAGTTGACAAAAGTAATTTGACTAAATTTTATAATTTGGACTAAAATTATCATATAAAAATGCTAAACTATTATGAATAGATAGGAAAAAAGCAGCAATATGAATTGGGCCAATATTTTCGCCGTAGATATGGTAAAATACTTGGCGAACGTTACTCGCCGAATAAATTTTATAGTCGATCAACGTATAGATGTCCTATTAACATCGAAATATTAACATATCTTATTACCAAATACGAAAAATCCTTTATTAACTATTAACATCCAATCATACTACGCATAATAACATGAGTAGTAGTATTAAGATCGATGTTAATAGCGAGTAGTAGTATGTTTATTATCTATTAAGATGCCGAAGTTAATACGCGCCATTTGCAATTTTGCACAGCAAAATACAAGTGTGAGTTGTATGTTAGTAGAATGTCGTTTTTAAACAAGTGTGAATGCAAGGGTGAGCGAGACAGCATGAAAAAAAGATTTGCCAAGCACGATTTGGGTGACAGAGATGACAAATTTTTACGTTCTGTTCACAACACATGATATAGACGACTTAGCTGTGTTCGAGAATTGAGAAAAAAAATTGCGAAAAATGAAAAAATGGCATGAAGACATCCAATGGCAGCCAATTCCTGTTCACACTACTCCGGTGCAATCAGATTATGTCTTAAATCATTACGCAGAATGTCCAAAATATGATTTAGCTTTTGATGAATTTATGAAAAAATCAGAGTAAGCAGAGAAACTCTCCATTGACATAGGATTTATATACGACTGGCGTGTGAGTGGAGTGTGCCATGCTAAATTTTGTCTACCAAAAATATTAGTCTCATTGTATAGCCGGACATAAGTTGAAATATCCATACGGAACAAAACAATTAGCTCGTTTGCATATCGGATTTTTCCTAAAGGAAGTGCTTGAACGTACTGCTTAAAAAATTAATAGAACTTTGACACCAGATTGATCTCTTTGGAAATATAGTGCACATGACTTGACAATAGCAAGTGCGCTGAATGCTTTCGGACTTTTCAATGTATTTTTTTCAATAATTAGATTTCAATTCAACAAATTTATTAATTAATGTTAATTTTAGTCGATACACATGCTTCGAGTCTACATTCGAACATCTGTCTCCATTAAATCTACCAAAATGCGGAACGACATGCTCCTTGGATCGATTTAACGAACTTTACAGTGAGATCATTCCTGGTGACTATAAATCTAGGGGATATCCATGCGAATTAGAATTAGCACATTAGCAAAAAAATAGGGAAATTTACATGAAGAAAATAGCAAAATTAGCAATAAATAGCAGAATTAGCACTGTACACGTATATACTTTAGTAAGCATTTATTCTTGAATATATTGAAATAATTAATTAAAATAAAATTCACAAAACAAACGAATTGAATAGTGTTGAACTAAAATGTATCAAAATATGTAGTTAAATACGCTTTTTCTCATTTTTAAATAAAAATATATTCAATGGCACGTAACCAAGCACGTTTCATCTGTATTAACTACAATTTACGAATTGCAATCGGAAATGTAGATTTGATGACAGATTTCTTACTGAAAACGTATACGCTAGTGCCTGCTTCAAATATACACGTTGAAAGTGTCAACTTGAAACATTTACGTAAACACATTTCAGTTATTACGTTGACGTACTAGAGAAATTAGCAAAAAATAGCAGTATTAGAACAAACTAGTAGAAATACTAGCAGAATTAGTGAAAACTAGAGAGAAATAGCGTTTATTATTATAAATTATTCGATCTGCAATTCACGGTTATCCCCTAGCTATAAATCTGAATGCTTTTGAGATTTGATTCAAGTTAGTTTTAAAATTACGAAAATTGTGATCATATAAGTAGTTCTTATAGACTATAAGTTATAGTACACACTTATATCGCTAGTATTAATTTTTAGCACTATGGGATTTTTAAATATAATTAATCCAAAAGGATTAATAGTTAGTCCCAAGGGATTAAATTATTATTTTATAATTCTAAATATATTTTTATTTTAAAATTCATGCACATTCTCTAGCCAGCATCAAAAACATCATCTTATACTATTCTCTCAACTTCATACGAAAGAATACCAACAATTGTTCGATTACACTCCAACGTCAACTATATGAGAGTCAACTTCTACACACGCATCACTTTTACTGGCGAGTCAGTGGAAACATATATACGAACGACGTTCAACGACTGACTCGCCAGTAGAAGTGATGCGTGTGTAGTAGTTTACTTTCATATCGTTTGAGTGTTGCCATACAATTGTTGTTATTCTTTCGTATGAAGTGAGAGAATAGTATGTTAGATGATGTTTTTGGCGCTCGCTAGAGAATGCGCATGAATTTTAAAACAAAAATATATGTTTATAATTATAAAATAATAATTTAATCCATTGGGACTAAGTATTAATCCTTTTGGATTAATTATATATAAAAATCCAAAAATGCTAATAACTAATACTAGAAATATAAGTGTGTAGTGATATATGTTACACACAAATGACAACTAACCTCAACAATTGTGTGTAAGATATAAAGAGAATGAAAATGATTGAGATTGAATGTATTTTGGTCATCACTTTCAGTTTTGTGTTGACGATTTTTTTTTGTGTTTCAATAGAATGTTGTTTGTAAACACAATGATTGTTTGAATATGTTAATAACAATATATTTTATGTTAGCTCAAAAGCGTACTGTAGTTTTTTGTAGCATTTTTAAATTTGTTGGACGTTCAAGTGAAAAAAATTTCATAATAATAGCCATCTTTGCTATATGTATCTTGTCTTACATTGTTTCTACGTTTCTGGTGCAAGGAGAAAAGCGAGTGAACAACCATTAAATTGTGATACTTTACACAAAGTTCTATATGAATGTCCGCAAACAGTGCTGACAGTCAGCATATTGTGTATGGTTGTGTTACATTTCAATAAGTTGTGAATAGAAGTCTCGCTTTCATTCTCGGGTAATCATATATTTAAAGTAATTTTTTTTGACAGAATAATATACGGGTTTGGCAAGTATGTCACAAAATATTGACTTTATTTGACATTTACTATTTAGTTGAATTTCTTTCAAACTTTGGATTACATTAAAGTTTATACAAATTGTCAGATAGATGTTCAGAATGTTAACTGATCAATGCATTCACCAATGTTCGACCGTTTTATATTTCATGTTTGGCTGTTCATGATACACAGTATTCAGCAACTCTTGAGCCATTCCAATAATACAGAAATCTACATCTTGGCCCATTCTGGTAGCATAGACTGCACAATACTGACTAAATCGATTTTGGATTCTTCTAATATCAAACGTGCTAAAATAATGAAAAATAATAACATAAAATGAAGAGTACATTCCTAATTGAAAATTAGGACATTACAATTGGCGCTTCATACTTACACTGGCGCTGATTCCAAAACAGAGAAATATAAATTTAGTAAATCTCTGGAAGCGTCACTATAATTATTAGACAATGCCTGTTTAATTACTTCAAGTTTTTTCATAACGTAACCTTGGATGGCAGTTGTATGACAAACGCTGAAAGTAATTGAATCAAAAATGTTAATTGGAATTTGTGTTGTCATTGTGCGCATTTCGAGAGATGAGCGCAGTCAATATGATTGTATTGTGATGTCACATATCTTACAGAAAAACGCCATCTGTGTAAAACAGGCTTACTATAATAATGTAAAAGTATAGCGAAGGGAAGGAGATGATGAAATATACGTTCAATTTACATTGTAGTCAGCGTGTTTTACGTAGATGGTGTTATAAGTATCTGTCCAAATTGTGCTTGCCCTTTGGCGCATTTAAAAAAAATTTTCAAACGTTTCAAAATATAGTTAATACCAGCAAGTTACAGTTACATCATCATCATTGCACCTGCAAACAATATGCATATGTAGTTCTTTGGTCAATAATTTTAATTTATAATGATTTACCCCACGCCCCTGAAATGTTTATTCACCAACTTCAAGTAACTTTCCCTAATGAAAGGATCTTGGTAAATCTTTCTTGTCGTCACCAGTCGCTTCAATGTTTGGTAAAAATATACAAAGAACACCTCGTATTCTCTATGAGATTTAAATACAATAATTCATTTGAATAAAGAGAATTCCTTTTTCCTCATAAATATTATACTTGAAAGATGGCGCATTCGTTTCTTCCAGTGCTAAAAGGGCGGCTGTGAAACTAATGCGAATTTTTTCAATGTCCGTTTCAGGATTAACTTGCGTTTCAACTAGCATATTTTTACTCCATGTGGTAAGGTAATTCTTCAATTTGCGTATAACCCATCTACAAATGAGAAACTAAGTTAGGAATATTTGAAATATTTTTTTTTTCAAGAATACATACTTGTTTTTGCGATCAATAATATCAGAGTGCACATCTTGGAATGGTGTGCTCTTAAGTGAAATTTGGTTACGTAGGTTGGGATCTAAATATGCTTTTAAGATATAATGACCCTCCCACGCAAAATCATCGAATGTATCGAATTTATCTGAAATACTTTCAATAAACATATCCACGTGTGAGATAATTTTATAGAAGAAATCGATTACAGAATCAAATCCTACACTCTGTTGCCGCTATTGAAATTCACCAAGAAATATTTGAACCTTTCGATATAAGCTTGTTGGTTTGTCTTAAACACCTCATGTCGTTGGTTTCTATCGGTCTGTGCTAATAAATGGGCATCTCTTTCTAGCAAATCTTTAGCCACCTCCTCAAATGGATCTCTGTCTCACAAAAAAATTAAATGTAATTATTAAAAAATATTGAATAGATAAAATTGCTTTTTTGAGATAAAATTTGACTTAATATATCATTGGTAAAATAATGTAAGAAAACTCACAGTCCCTTAACTCCTGTCCAAATGAAAATTAGGCTTAGAACCAATAAAAAAATGCTTTTTTCTTCCATTTTTAGTGGCTGCTGAAATACTTGTTGTGTTAACAACGCTCGTATAAGCCCTTACATACCATTTCATTTGGTTAAATTTCTACAACAACATTGTTTTTATATTGTGTGATCGCGAACATTCTGTTTTTGCATTCTTCAATAAACTCGTGCAAATAGAAACAACGAGAGTTTAAAGAAAATGCGCGTTCAATAAAAAATATTGGAATTAACGAGACCCAAAAACAAATTTCAATGACAACGAGATCACACAGCATCTTATTCAGTCACTGTAATTGATCGAAATATTTTTATTAAAAAATAACTACTTCTAACCAGTAAAGTACCCAAAGTGTTACAAATTATTTTTACTTTCCTTAGTACAGATCGATGTAAAGTGCCGAAAAAAAAAGTTTGTGAAAATAAAGGGTGCTTCTTTTGGGTCTAGGGGTCAGGAGAGCACCCCACCATATCAAAATTTGATCGGATCAAAAAATAATGTACTACAAAGTTGTTCAGAGAGAAATTTTTTATGACCCCTGCCCTCCAAGTCCCCCCACCCCCAGGGGGTTGGGGGTCATAACATCATTCAAATGTCAAATAAGCATCACTTTTGGTTTTAGTAACATGATCGTTCAACAAATTCTAAATATTATCGTTGATTTTATTTGGAATTTACTAGAAAAACACGAAATAGATAAAAAATAATGAGTTAATACATTTAAAAAACGTCAAGAAATCATTTTTTCGAAGACAAATGACAGCCTAATAGTAAAACCGAAATGGAAGAACTTGAGCGTAAAAACATGATGCAAATTCTTCAGCGTATATAGAGAACTTTCAAATTTTAGAACAAAAAGAGTTTGTAAAAAACTGAGGGCAAAAACACAATATATCGATTACTTGTTTTTGCCCGCAGGCTGGATATGTCGTGTTTTTGCTCTCAATTTTGTCTATAGTTTTTTTTCCTCGCAACAATCGGGATCTTGTTTTTACGCCGAAAAATTGATTTTTTTATACGCGTGTGATACGACAGTGTCATTCCAGCGGTCTTCCGTGTGTTTCATACAATCCTCCCATGTAAATGGTAAAAAATGGCGAAAAATGAAAAAAATAATTAAATTTTTTTTCTTCAATTCTCAAATACTACTCAACTTTCTGTATCATCTGGTGAAATCAGAATGAAAAAAATCGCATTCCTTATCATTCAAATCACGATCTGGATTTTTTTCACTTTTGGAGTGCTCTATACCGAGTCTCCGAGAGTTTCATATAAACTCGCCTTGCAATAGCCAAATGACGCCTATTGATTCAATCACGATTGGTATTCGCTTACTATTCAATAGGCATCACATAGCGAGTTTATATGAAACTCTCGGAGACTCGGTATAGAGCACTCAAACAGTGAAAAAAGTCCAGATCGTGATTTGGATGATATGGAATGCGATTTTTTTCATTCTGATTCCACCAGGTGATACAGAAAATGTGATAGTATTTGTAAATCGAATAAAAAAAATGTAATTATTTTTTTCATTTTTCGCAATTTTTTTATCATCTACATGATCGTAGATATATGGTCCGCCTCGCTCATAAAAAAATCCGTTTTTTCGGCTTAAATACAAAACTCCGATTGTTGCGGGCAAAAGAACTATAGACAAACTTGAGAGCAAAAACACGACATATCGCTTATTCACTTTTGCTCTGATTTTGCGTATGTCGTGGTTTTGCTCTCAACTTTGTGTGTTGAATTTTTGCTCTCGATTATGATATGTGGTATTGTTTTACTCCAAACAAAAATACATGCTATTTTTACGCATAAGAAAATTAAGTGTTGGTTTTACTATCAGGCTGTCAAATAATATTAATTGTTCAATACAGGCCTGTCAAAAATTTTCGGGCCTGATATAGAAACACACATTGTATTTTCAAATGACTATATTTATTATTCAAAGTAGTCTCCATAAACACGAAGGACACTTTCATAACGATGCTTTAATGCTTTAATTCCTCCTTCAAACCACTTGGCATCTTTGTCCTCCCATACGTTGAAAATATCGTTCGATATCTCTTCTTCGGAATCATATTGCTTCCCCTTCAGATATCTTTTGGTGTTTGGGAACAGGAAATAGTCGCTGGGGGCCAGATCTGGAGAATACGGTGGATGGTGGAGTTGTTCGAACCCACATTCCCTGATGGCAGCTTGTGCAAGCAATGATTTGTGAGACGGTGCATTGTCATGCAAAAGAAGAACTTTTCGAGTGAGCAAACCAGGACGCTTTTCTCTTATCGCTTTACGCAATCTATACATTTGTTGTGCATAATAATAGCCTATGACTGTGGTGTTCTTTGGAAGGAATTCAACCATTATTATGCCTTTGGCATCCCAGAATACAGAGGCCATTACTTTGTTTGTGGCAATTTCTTTGCGTGGCACTTTCGATGCTGGTTCACCACGTTTGTGCCATTCCATCGTCTGTGATTTGAGCTCTGGATCATAGTAGTGGATCCACGTTTCATCGCCAGTCACTATTCGCCCAAATGTGTCCGTTTCATTCCATTCCAACAACTCGAGAAACTCACGTGCAGCAGCAATTCGTTCTTCTTTTTGAGCTCTGTTCAAAGTTCTTGGAATCCATCGTGAGCAAACCTTTCTCATGTGCAATTTTTCATGAAGTATATTAAATACACTGCCAGTTGAGATGTCAAACATTGCTGCTAACACTTTCTTGCTCATTCGAGGATTTTCGTGCACGAGATGATCAATTTTCTCCACCACATCTGAAGCAGTTACTTCAACTGGCCGGCCTGTATGTGGATCATCTTCCAATGATTCTCTGCCCCACTTGAATAGCTTTGCCCATTCTTTGACCCTGGTATACGATGGAGCAAGTTTACCATAAACAGCACGTAAGCGGTCATTGATATCTTTTGGTGCTATACCCTCAAGCGACAAAACAGAATGTCTGATGTGCTAAAATCGGTACATTCGACGAAAAAAGAAGAAGAAGTATAAGAAGAAGAAGCAGTTTTTGGTACATTTTTCGGTATATCTACGGTACATAGGATGTTTACGTTGATATATTGGTATATGGATTTTACTAGCGCGGTAAATCAGAAAAATTGTGTGACGGCTTGGTAAATCTCATGTACACCCATGGTACAAATAATAATCGTCACAAATTTCGGTATATTTCATATGCTGATTTTGGTATATTGGTAATGCTGTCATAATACGTAGCACAATAATTATACTGATTTTGGTACATGAGACGTACTGAAGATCTTCTAGTACACCGCATGTACGATTTTTGGAATATGTGTTTGACTGGTACATTGCATACACTTATTTTGGGTATGTTATGAGCTAGTGGTTTTTCATATAAGCCATATTTGGAACTATTCATGTACTTTAACATCATTGACCATTTAATGTATTGTTTGGTCTAACAAATGTACTACCGCCATATTTTTCAAATTTTTTGAACATGAACAAGGCAAAAATGGCTGATTTTTTTGTACAAGAAAATTAATTACAATGAAAATTCAATTTTTTTGAAATATTTTGGGTCAGAAATCAGAAAAAAATTAATGAATTTTATCTTATTATTCATAATAGACTTAATAAAAATATTTTTGTTTGAAAAATATTTGGAATTAAGAATGAGATTTTTAAATTTTTTTCAGAGATTTTATTTAAATCTACAGAATTTCAGAGGCGCGTAAATTATTAAGAAGCAAAACGAAATTTCGTTCGAGAAAGTGAATTTTCTTTGCTTTTTTAAGAACACAATTGGCCAAAAATCCTATTTTGATTTCAACTATTTCAATGTTATAAAATGTTATTTTCATCATCTGAAAACTTTATTGTAGTCTTATTATTATTCATTTTTATTTTTGGAATATTTGAAATACCAAATTAATATGTTTTGAGATCGTCCGGTTCATTGTAAATACTTCCAATATTAACATATAGAACATTGAATGTTCCAATTTTTGTCCCAAATGTCTTTCCTATATACCATTTTGTTACAATAAGTCAAAAGAAAGTCGGTATTTATAAAAAACTGATTTTGGTTCATCTGATGAGCAATAAAATATTGAATGAACCATTTTTGGTACTTCTTACACGCTAAAATCAGATGTACTTTTTAAATGTAAAAGTGGAGACACTCTGCACGTCAGATGTACCGGTACATCCGACAAAATTTTGTCGCTTGAGCCTTCTTTTGTGAGAAACTTAATCACCGCACGATATTCGATTTTATCCATTTTTCTAAAAATATCGAAGTTTCTTGATAAATAATATTATAGAAAACAAACGATCACTGATATCAACTCAATTTTTTTACACAATACTGTTGACAGTTCGCACTTCAATTACAGCACATGAACAATTTGTAACTAGTGCCGTCTATATGTCAGGCCCGAAAATTTTTGACACGCCTGTAAATATTTCTTGTATGACACATAAATGACATTTCAAATGTCATCTAAACAATGTGAATCTTTTGAATCATGTCTACCTCCTAGCAAACCTTAGTCGAAAAAATGACCAAAATATATTTCACTGAACATCTCAATAATGAACAATATTGATACTTTGTAACTTTTGAAATTCGATAATGTAATCAGTTGTCGAACAATTGTTTGATTGTATAGCAAGCTTTTTGTGTTTTTCTTTATTATCTTCAACGATTCAAGATTAAAATGAGCTATGTGCAATGTCGACAATTTGAAAAACGCATTTGCGAATTTGCAATGAAATATTCCGTCCAATATTGATCAAATCGTTGATTGTGAATAGACGTGATTTAGTAAGCATGTTTTCTAGACAATTAGTAACTTCGGTACTTCTGCTCTTTGGTAACTTTCTCCTAAAATGTGAAGCTAAATCGTTTTTTAAGCATGGAGCCACGATGAATGGAATACATTTAAATGACAGCGAGTTGATATTTGCTCACGTTGTATGTAAAATTCCGTTTTCACTATTTATATTCCACGAAAATAGTTTAATAAAATTAAATGCTTTCAGGTTTATCGACATGGCGATCGAACCATACAGTATGGTTTCCCAAATGACCCATGGAGAGATGAAGAACATTGGCTTTCTGAAGGGGGATTTGGAGCATTGACACGTGTAAGTTACTCTACTCGTGAGAGTTGCAAGATTACGTTGACTTTTTAAGAACTATATCGAACAACATATTTATCACAAACAGGAGGGAAAGAGGCAACATTATAAGCTTGGTCAATATTTGCGTCGAAGATATGGAAAAATACTAGGCGATCATTACTCGCCGAATAAAGTTTATATAATATCAACGGATATGGATCGCACTTTGATGTCAGCTCAAGCGAATTTAGCTGGTTTATTTCCACCACACGCTGATGAAATTTGGAACGAATGTATTCCATGGCAACCGATTCCTGTTCACACCATTCCGGTGCAATCAGATTATGTCTTAAATCATCTCGCAGCTTGTCCAAAATACGGTGTAGCTTTTGACAAATTCATGCAAGAGTCACCAGAAGTGCAACAAATTTATACAAAATACGCCGATAAATTTGAGTATTGGTCAAAAATGAGTGGAGCTAATATTACGACAATCAAAAATGTTTTCGATCTGCACAAAACACTCTATATCGAAACTGTGCACAATAAACCGTGTGTATAAATCGTTTCAATTGGCGTGAGTAGTGACTGAATTATTATTTTTTGAATTTAGATTGCAAAAATGGGCCCAAAAGGAATTTAAGAGTGGAGTCATGGAAAAAATAGCCAACTTTAGAATGAAGCTGGCTACGAATACAAAGGAATTGGCACGTCTAAGAATTGGGTTTTTGTTAAAAGATATGCTGGAACGATTCGCCCAAAAAATCAATAAAACGTTGAAACCAGATCGTTCTATTGTAATTTTTAGCGCGCACGACTTAACAATTGCAAACATACTAAATGCGCTTGGAGTTTTTAATGTAACTTCATATAAAAGAAGTTATTTTTTAAAATAAAAATCCACATTTATATTGTTCTTGTTTTTGCAGCCTCATGTACCACCGTATGCTTCGAGTCTACATTTTGAACTCTACAAAAATAGTGAAAATGAGCATTATATTCAGCTTTTCTACCGCAAATCTAATGAAGAACATCTGTCTCCATTAAATCTACCAAATTGCGGAACGATGTGTTCATTGAATAGATTGTACGAACTTTACAGCGAGATCATCCCTGTTGACTATGAGTCTGAATGCTTTTGATGCAAATCGAAGAAATATTGTAATCCTCTTGATTATAGTGATAAATAGAAGAATTTGTAATATTTGTTTAACTTAGATGAACATCATTTTAATGTCTTGATATGTTTATTGAATAAAAATTCTGTTGCTTTTAAAAATATATTTGTATTTAAAACTTTTTCTATAATAATATTTAATAATTGTAACCAACATTGGTTTGTATGAGACATGTCAAACCTTACTTCTCCGATTTCAATATATGTCTGTCTGTATTTCATTTACTGAAAAGAAAATTGCGTCAGTGATAAAAAGCACTTGACATGTCTCATAATAGGTTGACTATAAGCAGGGAATCATATATCGCAACCGTTTTTTAAAAGAGTTAATGTAGATTTGAAATTTAATCGAAAGGTTACCGGAGTGGGCGCAAAAAGCCACGGAACAGAATATATAGCAAATTTTCAAATTAAATCACAATCTGACACAAAGAAAATGGCACGTTTACAGTCGGTAGTATTGTTGAAGGAAATGTTTGAACGTTTCGCTCAAAAAATCAATTCGGCACTTAAACCGAACCGCTCTCTTTATCTATATTCGGCGCATGATTTGACGATTGCGTCAATACTGAATAGCCTTGAACTACTTGAGGTAGACGCGAAAATAAAGTGATGAGTGATGACACTCAAAATCGTACAATACTAGAACTTAGAATTTTCAAATAAATACACCCGTGTAGAAAAAAAGTGACTGACTGACTAGTTGAAATCTATCCAGTCGACTTGAGTCGTCTATTTTTCGGCTTTTAAACAGACAACAAATTTGGGACGTTTTTTGGCTTAATCCAACTGAGATTGAAGTCATTTAAAGTTGATTTGCTTGATTTTGCAGTCCATTACAGTAGAGAAAAATATAACTCAAATCAACTTCAATCACAGTTGGATTAAGCCAAAAAACGTCCCAAATTAGCTAGGGGGTAGACACAAACTAGAAAACTAAAAAAACTAAGAAAAATTAGCAATACTACGTAAAAGCCCGTGTCTCCCCCTAGCAAATTAGTTAACTGACTACACACAATTTTAACACGGGAATTTCACCAATATCAATGAGATTTAAAAACCAAAATACTTATATTCCACACTAAATATTCATATTTCTTCTACAGCTGCACATACCTCCATTTGCATCCAGTTTGCATTTTGAACTGTATAAAGATCGACCATTACATTCAAATTTTCTACAGAAAATCGAATGAAGATTTTCCTATAGCCCTAAATATACCACAATGTGGCCAAAAATGTCCATTGGAACGATTGTATGAATTGTATGATGATGTTCTAACGAAAGATCGTGATTTTGAGTGTGGTACATCTAAATCTTCATTGAATATTACTTGACAGAAAGGTGTATTCCGTTGATTCCATTTTTAGATAAAATAGCTACATGGAATTAGCATGGTTATGCAAAATAAAATACAATTTTGGCTAAATTAGAGCCTTTGTAAATAAAAGATATGAATAAATACAAATCGTTAGTGTTTTAATTAAAATATTCTTGGAAGTATTCAATAAAATGAAAGAAATACTTAACTTGAAGGTTCTTCAGAAAGCTATTTTCATCTTCTCTCTTTAACAGGTTTTACACAATTTTATTTATACTTTGAAATGGACATTATAACACGTAAAATCAGATTTCAACACAATCAATTACAAAGTAAACAACTGAAGAAGTGGAATTAATTTGTTTGGAAAATTATCAATTTTGAAAATCTACCGCTTCAAAAAAAATGTAAATGATAAGAGTGCACTTTAAAATATAAATAAAAGTCATGAGCTCATACACATTTCAATTCATTTCTTAATAAACAAATCACTGAGAATCCAACCAAAAATTCCTTTTACTGAAATGTTGTTATTCTTACTAGTTATTTTACTATCGTTAAAACAATTTAGTGTCACAGCATTACCACATCAGGATAGTTTCGATCGGAGAAATGAAGTGTTTCGTAATGATGACAAATTGATATTTGTTCAAGTAGTATGTAATAATAATTGAAAACAATTTTTGGAAGTCATTTTCAACTAATTTACAGATTTATCGACATGGGTTTACAAATATTAAAAATATCAGCTACCCAAATGATCCATATAGAAATGAATCGAATTGGGTCGGCGGATTTCACCAGCTAAATAATGTAAGACTTGAATTTAAATTTCATTTTAAACTTTATGCGAATCTACCGCATCAAAATCAAAAGGAAGGAAAGCGGGAAATGTTTGAATTGGGCCAATATTTTCGAAGAAGATACAATGAACTGCTTGGCGATAAATATTCAGCAAATAGAGTGTACGTACGTTCGACCGATACAGATCGCAGTATATGCAGTGCATTATGTAATTTGGCTGGTCTGTTTCCGCCTACCGTAAACGAAACATGGAACGAAAATATTCTATGGCAACCCATCCCTGTTCATTCGGTTCCCATCCATTTGGATTATGTTTTGTGGGGTCCACCAGACGATTGTCAAGCATTTTTTGCCGCTTATGATAAATATCAAAGAGAATCACCAGAAGTGAAACGAATTTATGCTGATTACGCAGATGAATTCGCACATTGGTCAGAAATGTGTGGAAAAAAACTTATTACCATTTATGATGTGACTCAACTATATAATACGCTTCGCAAGGAAAGTCTACTCAACAAAACGTTAGTATCTATTCAGATGATTTTAAAATTAGTAATAATTAAAAGAAATTCATACAAATGTTGTCGAAAGGCTTGCAAGTTGGGCACAGGAAGCAATCAAACCAAAGGGAGTCATGGAATACATCGCGAGTTTTAATCAAAAACTGAAATCGGACACAAAGGAATTGGCACGATTACAGTCGGGATTTTTAATTAAAGAAATATTCGAACGTTTCGGACAAAAAATCAATTCAACGCTTCAACCCAATCGGTCGATTTGGTATTATTCCGCCCATGACACAACAATCTCTTCAATGTTGAACAGCCTTGGATTACTTGAGGTAATGTATACATTACGTAATCAACTCATTAACATTTGTAGCATTATCTCTTGGGATTTGTTTTACGTTAAATGATCTTATGACTTATTGCGCCGAAACAATCATAGCAATGAAACGACAACAACAATAACACATATTTTTACTGTCAAAATTTTGATGTCAAATGGTGTCGACATTGGTGACGGTATTTTGAAACAGACTGTATAATCCATATTCATCGTATATGATCCTATGTAAAGTTCTATACTTGATCTAGTGTCGACACCATCTAGCACGGTAGTAGGTATTTCATTGCTGTGGAAACAATGACAGAAAAGGTGACGTTTATTAATTAAAATTTATGTTTGGAATGTTTTCAATCAATATTATTGAAATGATTACCGGACTCAAGTTCATCAATTCAAAATAATATTTAAAGTATGCCTTGCCACATAATAACAGAAGTAATGAGTTTTTTTTACTCTTTCACAGTTGCACATACTTCCATTTGCGTGTAGTTTGCATTTTGAACTCTATGAAGTCGATGGAAATGAGCATTACATTCAAGTTTTCTACAGGAAATCAAATGAAGAATTCCTTGCACCATTGAATATACCGAATTGTGGGGAAAAGTGTTCTCTGGATCAATTGTACAAATTGTATAATGATATCATACCTGATTGTGATCATGACATTGAATGCGGATTAATTAAGGATTCCTATTGATTCGTTTGATCGCTCTAGAAATAACATCAATCATAGTATTGGTAAGCAGGCAGACTATCCACTTTAAGTTGTACAGACAACCACTTCAAATGTTCCAATGTATTGTCTATATTTTGGATTATTGCTAATAAATAAAACAATAAATCAATTTGAAGTTATGGTCTTTTTTAAACTGAATTTAATGATGTTGTTGGGGTTATATTGTAGAGTTTGTTTGAAGATATACGACATGTCGAAAGTTATTTTAACTTGGAAACAAAATGAAAATTTGCAAATTGTAATCAAATGTTGATAACAAATATCAGTCAAATTAATCAACAAATGTACGCTCATGAATCACGTTTTTAGCCATATTCCTTTCTTTCTTGGCGTATAAAAGACAAATATAAACGATGAGAAATCCTCTTCTTTAATCATTATCAAACTAGATTGCTCTTCCTTTTACTTTGAGTTTTTTTCACTTAAAATGCTGCTCTTTAAGTTTATAATTTTAACGGTTTTTGTCATTTGCTGTTCAAGTACCGATAAACCATCAAAGGAACCTGAAAGTAGTTCTTCACAATTGATTGCAAATGATAGTGAATTAATATTTGCACATGTGGTAAACTCACACGTTTTTACTCTTTATTACTTTATTATACTATATATTAACATCTGTTGCATAAACATTGGCACAAATTGATACATTTATTACAACGCAATAACAAAAATAAAAATGTCAACCAATGCACATAGGAGTTTTAACGGGACTCTTACTCTACTGTCAAATACAATTTGCACAAAAAAAATTATTCGCGATGGCGTACAAACTGGATTTGCGCAAGTCTGTCTCAAACTGTTTTGGACGGCTAAGTACTAACGAAATTTTCCTTGTGTTTAAAGACAAACCAATTTCTCGTCGAACCATCTATCGTGTTTTAAAGGATTGTCGTGAAGGTAAGAAACGGAAAATAAAAAAATCCCTGGTCGTCCACCCAAACTAAGTGCCCGGACAACGAAACGTCTGCTGTCAAGTGCTAATAACAAGGTTGGTCAAACACACGGCGATTATTGCAAAAATTTGGTATTGATAATTCCACAGTGCATCGCATTTTGAAGAAATACAACGTATTTTATCGTAAACGTAAGCGGGCACCGAAATATACACCAAGACAACTCAAACACACATCGTAAACACTTTGCAAACGGAAAATTCATGATTTTGGACGATGAATCATACTTCACTTTTTCGCACCATGAATTGAGTGGTAATGATGGCTATTACACTGACAACATTGAAGCAACACCAGACGATGTTAAATTTGCTGGCAAGTCAAAATTTGAGCCGAAGGTGTTGATGTGGTGTGCATTTTTATCGAAGGGTATTTCAGAGCCGTTGATTCATGGGGCGAATCACGCTAGTGAAAACTAGAAAAACTAGTAAATCTAGTGCAAAGAATGACGTCACAAACGAAGACAACTTCACAACAACGGCCATATAATTTATATGAAAAACTACTGAGAGCCAACTTCACGCACTAGAATTTTCTAGTTTTCTAGTGAAATCTTATCAAAAACTAGATGCACTAGAATTTCGTGATTGACCCCATGCGTTGATTCGTCCAAACAAGGCCAAAGCGATCGATATCGACACTTATATTGATCAATGCTTGCCGAAACTGAAGCGATTCATTGAAAACCATCACGCCCGAGACGAAATAATGTTTTGGCCGGATCTTGCAAGCAGTCATTATGCGAAAAAAACATTGGATTGGCTCACTGAGCAAAATATACCATTTGTACCGAAAAAAGACAACCCACCAGACATTCCACAGGCACGTTTAATCGAAGATTTCTGGTCAGTTCTCAAACGTAAAGTGTACGAGAAGGGCTGGGAAGCTCAAAACGAGCAACAATTGATAGGACGAATCAAGCAAAAGTTGGAGAAAGTCGACATATTGGTCGTCCAGAGCATAATTTTGAAGGTTCGACACGTACTGAGACAAATCGAAGACAATGGCTCATTAAGTGTAAAGTGAATATGCTATTCGATAGCCTATGAATAAAAGTTTATACCAATAAAAAAGAGTTTAATATTGTGTATTTGTTTTTGAAATGGCGGACGTCTCATTTTGTGCCAATGTTTATGCAACAGATGTTATACTATAGTATACAGACATGGAGCACGAAATATTGTTAGGTAATGACGATACAATCTGTTTCATTTTTTTCTTTTGAATGTCTTGTTAATGTTGTTGTTGTTGTTGTTGTTCTTATTAGAGTGTACCCAAGCGATCCCAATTCGGATGAAATTTTTTGGACAGAAGGTTTGTCTTTGAATTATCACTATTAGTTATGCTCTCTGCATTTTAAACATTGCCGAAAAATAAACATCAGAATTTATGCATGTTATTATAATTGTTTTCTTTTTTTTAGGTTATGGACAATTGACAAAAGTACGTAAATTCCCATGACTTATGATTCGTTGATATAACACTGATTTCAATATTATTTTGAAATAGGAAGGAAAAAATCAGTTATATGAATTGGGCCAGTACCTTCGTCGCAGATATAGAAAATTGCTTGGTGACAAATACTCCCCAAACAAAGTATATTGTCGATCCACCGATACTGACCGCACTTTAATGTCGGCTCAGGCAACTTTAGCCAGTTTATTTCCGCCAGACGCTGGTGAAATATGGAATGAAGATATTCTATGGCAACCAATTCCAGTTCACACAGTGCCAGGCAAATACGATTTTATAATACACCATGCCGCGTCATGTTCAAAATATCAAGCCAAACTTAAAAATTACATGAATACATCTCCAGAAGTTCAACAAATTTATGCGAGATATGCACATCAGTTTTCGTATTGGTCAAAAATGATTGGAAAGAAAATTGAAACGATTTTTGATGTTGCTATGCTATATAATCCCCTTTATATCGAAAAACTTCAGAAAAAATCGTTAGTTCTTTTCACAATAATTAATTCAAAGAAAAATTACGTAAAAATGTTAGATTTTCTTTTTGAGTTTGCCATACTGGGCCGAAAAAGCTATGGAATCTAATGGCATAATGGAATATATATCTCAATTTTCACTTCAAATCGAAGCAGCAACACCACAATTGGCACGATGCAAATCCAGTTTTTTGATCAAAGAAATTCTTGAACATTTTACGCAAAAAATCAATAAAACATTGAAACCAGATAGAGTGTTTTGGTTGTACTCGGCTCACGATTTAAATATTGCACATCTATTGAAGAGTCTTGGTTTGTTTAAGGTACATTGTCTTATTTAAATCTTTTATTTTATATGATTATTTGACAAATATTTCTCTATACAGTTGCATTTTCCATGTTATGGTTCAAGCCTACATTTTGAGCTATACAAAACGAATGATAACGAGCATTACTTCCAGCTTTTCTATCGCCAATCAAACGAAGAGAAACCACTACCACTCAGTATACCAAAATGTGGAGAAATATGCCATATAGATCAATTCTATGCTGCGTATCGTGCAATAATTCCATCCGATTTTGAAAAGGAATGTAGTTGAAGCAAAATATCAGTGAAGTGTTTTTTTAATGTAATTCAATTTAATCAAAAATATATGAAAATAAAAAGTGTATTCAGGTCGTTTTTCATTTAAATTGAAGCATCAATATTATCGTCCGAGTCTTGAGGCGCTAATGAATTGTATTTGTTGATGTGGAATGTACAACAAATTCAGAGAAGTAACCAACAAAAATTGTTTTAAATAATTTAAGAAAATGTGTGTTATCTGTCGGAATGTGTGAGAACGCGAATCGAAATATGTCGAATGAACACGCACTCAATCACACATATTATTGTTTAATGAATTCGAAAAAATCGTTGAACTGTAAAAATACATTTCTACACACCTTTTTTCCCGTACATCATATACATCCAAACACACATTCATTCTTTTGTGCAGCGCAATTGCGGTTTTTTGCATTGCTATTTATATTGTTCAAATATGTGTGTGAACTGAATGTGAATAGTATATATAAAAAAAGGATTGAATCCTAATCGAATTATGGACAGCAATATCGTACTCTCATTCACACCATTTTGATGTTGGGCGATGAAAGTGATTTTTTTTCATAACGACTCCAGTTCGGTTATCCATTAAGATTTTGGGATGTTGTTCTGTGTATGAGGTGTTGGAGCATTCATTCTATTCAGTCTGTTGAATTTCGGCATTTTTCTTCTGCTCATTTTCCAATTCAGTACAGATCGTTTCGTTTGACAAACTCTGTTTTTTTTTCTACTTTCCGTCCAGCAAATGGACCGAAATCAAAAGCATTCAGCTCACCCTCCCAACCTAACCAACCTACGTTATATTTATTTTTATGCGAATTAATTATTTATTCAGTTGATAATAATTAAATAAGGGAAAAATAGAAATTCCGTTTGGCAATATAACCAGCAACCATGCATAAGCGCACATGTATTAGTCTGTGCCTTTGATTTTTAAAAACATTTAGAGAGAATATCAACGCTTTATTTAACGCCCCGAACGAATTTGAAACGATGATGAGATGAATGAAAGAGTGACGGTGTGAAAAAAGTCAAAGTATCTCAATGAATTATTCTTTGAGATAACCAACTTTGAAATTAAGTTGTTGATTTGTCAGATTGAATCTTTCGTTTTGCTTCTTTCGCAAGCCAGAAACAGATTTATTTCCTATTTGACATAAATAGTTCATCGCTTTCCCCTTCTATTAATACACTTTAGATCTAGATTATAGACTTATTGAATGGGTCTAACGTTGTGCAATTTTTTTTCATTCATTCTCTCCCACAATTTTGCAAATAAGTTTTCCAATGTATATTTTTACCTGTATTCATACGGTACTCCAATGTGTATAATTAATCCAGTTATTCGATGATTTTCCAATTGAACTGATTGAACGTACGTGTGTGAGTGTGTGTGTTATTTCAATGGTTCACCTGGGAAATTTGCTGTTTTTATTGATTAAATTGATGGGGGTTTGAAGGGAAAAAGTGGAATATATATATTTTGCGTGTTGGCGTGTCAATGCTGAAAATGAATTCAGTCAGTGAATTAGTTATTGTATCGAAAAGAACATAAATAGAATGAGCGGCTCCCCATGTGCTCATGATGAGTTGAGTGGATTTTTTAGTCATAAACATTATCTATATGTATTCATGGCCAGCCACAGAATACAAAGGCAACCATAAAGGCATTCAATTAAACAAAATTGAAGATAAACAAAAGAATTCATTTAATTATGAGGCACGCTTTGAAGTTGTGTACTTCAGGCTTGGTGCGCACATTCTATATTTTTTTCTCCACAACACTCTTGGTCTTGATGCTATGCATACATACCGAAAGTTGGCTTTTGTGAATCTAACTAAATGATTCGTTCGAATAAAGTTCATTTCATTAATAAATCGATTTAAATAACCAAATGACACGAAACCTTTTGGGATCTCGGTATTGTTTCAAGCATTTTATTCAACTTTGGAGTGGTTTTTTGTTGGTGTTTCCATTAAAAAATTCCACCGAAATTCTACACCGTAAAAATGAAAATTAAAACTACGTTAGAATAAAATAAAAACTTTGTTGGTTTCGTAGAACCATTATCCGTAATTCATTGCGAAGCACTGAATAAATTGGATTCATTTGCCATTGAAAGACTAATGTTGTGATATGAAAAAGTGAAAGAAAAAAAACCTTTCGTAATTCGGCGAACGGGAAAAAAATAATGAAAATATAATTTTATAATTACCCCGGAGGTGTAAACTCAATGGCAAAGTATATTTCCGTAAACCGATACACCCGTTATGAGTATAAATGCAGGACAACAAAAAAAAAACGGTCGAACAGGGAAACGAAACTTAGTTATTATACACTTTTTTCTTTCTTTCTTTCTTTTTCAATACTTTGTTATTTTTAGATACTTTGCTTATTACGTTCATCGTCATCGTCGCACATAAGATATGCTGAAAGAAGTGAATTGAAAGAGAATGTTCGGGCGCAATACAAAAAAGGGAGCTTAATTCTTACTATTAAATGAAAATGTTTCATTTATCTCTCTTGTGTGTGTGTTTTGCGCGGTGACGCGTCGGGTCCGTTTTATTCGTTTTACGTTCATTATTATTTGTGTTTATTTTGCTTCAACTGTATGGTACGTGCGTCGTGCACCAAACAAAAATTCGGTTTTTCAATTAAAAATTAGATAATGCCATTTGGATGTAGAATGCTCGTACTCTCGCCATCACTCACCGTCGTCGTCGTCGTCATCATCATAGCAAATAAAAACCATCGCGTCTTCAACTAAATACAATTCCACGCACTTTTTCCGCCGCATTCTTTTTGTTGGTTGCTTTCGGATTAAGTTATTATGTTTATTTAAAATATTATGTTTGACAAGGCTATAAAAGCGATATGGACGGCAAACGACTAAAAATGAAGGAAAAGGAAACACAGGAAAAAAGTTTTCGTCTTGCAATTCATGTTTTCTTTCTTTCCTATAGCTGTTTCTTTATCTCTCTTGATTCGCCGGCGAAAATGGACGCGTCATCAAAAAGCAGTCGTGGAGTGATTTTTTTCCTTTTTTTTTGCACACGAGGTATTTAATATGAATTAAAGGTGGTCGAGCGTTTATTTTCTTATGTTTTTTTTTTCGTTTGTCAGTAGAGAAATAAAAATTGCCCGAAGAACTCGCTGTTTTCGAGATGTTTGGAGGAATATACGACAGTGGTGAGCGCAAATGTTTAATGCGATTTTAAAATTACCCTTAGTCATTACTTTTTGTTGTTCGAACTTCTGTGTGTTTTTTTTGTTTATAAGCATTCACATTCATTCGACACATTCGCTACATGTCTCTCTCCTGCCTTATTATTATTAATATTCGCGTTGTGTTGATAGCAATGGTGTGCATTGCGGTGTGGTGTACCGGCTAGAGTTTCAATTTTCTCTCCCGACGAATTAGGACTTGTTGATATGAAAGCCTCTGTGTTGTTTCGATTTCGTGAATATCATTACAACTTTTTTCGATGGTAAGTGAAATTAATAGCAGACGATATGATATATTTGCCCTAATTACATACCTATATTCATGCATTCGACGCGACGAGTGAAAAAAAACCATCATGTTGCACGACTATATAATACATGACATGAAAGTGCGGTTTTTATGAGAATAATATTACAACCGCAGGGATGAAAAAATACTTTTTTTCATTCGACATCTTCTAATGCTTATTTTACATTTCTATTACATCTCCTTATATTGCGAAAGCTATTATGGCTATTTTAGTCTTCGCTGTGTTACACTCACAAGTAAAAAAAACAGTAAATTTAATTTAATTTTATCTATAAATCATTCCTTTGTGGGAAGAACATGCCTATCATTCACATGAATTTCGCTGGATTATTAGGGGATATTCACTTGTAAAACGAACACATTTGTTATGCGCCTTATTCTTTGATTATCATTGATTTGTAGTCTCTCATCTCATGCATTCACTCACAGTCTACATTCATATCACACAAAGAAATATATCTTTTTTTACCATATTGTCGACATCAAAATTATGCAAATGAAAATATGAGGTGTTTTCTTGCCTACAACTTTCTTTAAGAAAATCACTTGGGGATCGAAAATTACTTTCAATAAAAAATAAAGAGGAGCTTCTTGCTATAGAAATACACCAAATTCTAGTTTTTTTTTACATTATTCGTGACTTTCAAGTTATTAGCCAAAATCGTTTTTTACATCAATAACTATTACTAAAAATTAAATAAGATGTGGAAAAATATTTAAATATAGATGAGTGTGTAGTGGGTAGTGTTTGTGAAAATATCGAATGTAAAAAACAAATGCTTGAGAAAGAAAAATAGCAAAAATACAGTTTTAGGGGCAAATATAATCTTAGCAAAAAAATAGCATATAAAATTATCAAATCAATACAAAAAAAATAGTAAAACTAGCGTTAATTAACATCCGCGTCCTCCAGATACAGTTAATTTTTTGGAAATTATTCCTTCTTCAAAAAGATGGAAAGAAGCTTAATCATTCTGCATCGAATTTTGTTTACACACAGAGAAATATTGCAATGAAAACTAGATGGCTTGTCGTATAAAAATCGGAACTAGTTGACACTCCGTATAGAATTGTATTTGTTCATATATTGGGAGTGCAGCTTAAAAACCGGAATTTTTTAATGAAAAATGAAGGTTTATTTAAAGGAACATGTAAAATATATTTTATTCAAAGTACTGTCCATCGTTAGCCACTACTTTTTCCCATCTTTCTAGTAGCATACGGATTCCGCGTCGAAAGAACGTCTCATCTTTTGAGGCTATCCATTCATCGACCCAATTTTTGACTTCTTCGGAAGAACGAAAATGCTGCCCAGCCAAGCCATGCGTCATCGATCGAAATAGGTGGTAATCGGAAGGAGCAATGTCTAGGCTATACGGCGGGTGGGGTAAGACATCCTATCGATTTGCTTCCAAATAGTTTTTGACACGCTGTGCAACATGTGGCCGAGCATTGTCAT